ACCACCACACCACACATACGTGGAACCATTGGTTACAACAAATGGAGAAGTTTTGAACACTGTGGATAAGTTCATTTGGTAGTGTACTTTTCAGGGATGTACACATAGATGAGGAAGCTGATGCACGCATTTCTAGAACTAGCTCAGTGTTTGGGAGTCTCTGAAGGAAAGTACGGGAAAGAAGAGATATTAGACTGATCACCAAACTGAAGGTCTACAGAGCTGTTGTGCTGACCTCATTGTTGTATGCATGTGAAACCTGGACAGTATACCAGCGCCATTCTAGGAAACTGAACTGCTTTCATTTAAATTGTCTTAGGAAGATTCTGAAGATCATCTGGCAGGACAAGACACCAGACACTAAAGTCTTTTCTCGAACTAAACTGCCAAGCATTCAAACTCAGCTTCAGAGACCATAACTCTTATGGGCTGGCCATGTTGTTCGAATGCAAAACGTATGCTTGCCAAAAAGACTATTTTATGGAGAACTCACACAGGGCAAGCATTCACATGTGGTCAGAAGAAGTGGTACAAGGACACTATCAAGGTCTCTCTTAAGAACTTTGGAACTGACTGTCTGACATGGGAGACGCTGACACAGGACTGCTCATCATGGTGTGTCCACATCAGAAAAGGTGCTTTTAGTTTGGGGCTTCTTTAAGGGAGCAATCAGTAAATCCAACTTCCACTTTGCCCTATGGTTCTTGAGCAGTTTTTAAAAAGGATTTTTAATAAAAATGTCCAGGAGAGACATGAGCATACATAGCCTTGGGAACTTAATGAAATAGTGGTCCTAGGCAATAGCTCACTGATCAAAGGTCATAGAGGCACCTCCAAGGTAAGAGCTTCTAGGGGATGAGAAAGTCTAGAGAATCAGGAGAGAAGGTGGGAAAGAGGTAGAGATAAGACACATTCTTTTAATTTTTCAGTCTTTTTTACATTGTTCCAATATTTCTTGTCTCATAGAGTCACTGAGTTCTATTTGCCCCTATTCTATTTTTTATGGAGTCCTACATTTGGATAAGGTTTTCCACCTTCTGTTCCAAGCTATTTGTTCTCATTTCAATTTTTTCCCCCAACTCATTTCATTTTTTATCTCTCTGCATTTATTTTTACTACTCTTTCAGTCTTTATGATCAAAGCCATTTCCCCCCCCCCCGGGCTTCTATTTGTTGTGCAACCATGGTTTTCTTTTGGATTTATCTCTTTGGCTTCTCTTATCTCATATCATTTCTTCATTGTGTTTGATATTTTATTGTTTATTCACATTTTCAGTTTCAGTTCTTGGTTTCCAATTTTACTCTCAGATTGGTCCCCTCTAGTATTCTTAGATGAGTTAGACAGTCTTTGGTTCTGGAGAGAACAGAAGAATTTACTTCTGCTTCTTTTCAGGTTTTTTTTTAAATTCTGGGGTATTTTCCAGATATTTTATGGAGTTGCTATGAGAAATATAGACTACTCTATGATCTATAACATTACCATACTAACTGAAAGACAAAGAACAGTATTTTTGATAGATATTGCCATAATAAAGTCTCAATCTCCAACTACAAGTTATAAAAAGCTTTCAAAATATAGAAAACTACTAGAACCATGTGGAAGCAGAATGAGGTAATCCCTGTAATCCTTCCTGCTGCTGAAGTTGTCCTAAGTATGACTTGAGTAAATCTATTGAAGATGAGCCTATATGCCAATACTCATCCAATTATCTTCTACATTTACATAATAGTCCACAAAATGTTAAATGTAAAACAATAACAGGATAGTAACTCACCTTGTACCCTTACTTTCTGAATTCCATCAAAAAAAGGTGAGAAGAATGAGATAATGCTAATAATAGTCATATTAATAAAAGTAATAATAATAACTGTCACTTAAATAGCTTAAGATTTAATAGCACCAACCGATAGTTTTTGGAAAAATGTAGACAATCTATTTTGAATAACAAGGAATTAAATTTTACATAAAATATTTTTACAAATTATTTGAATAATTTGCTTTCTTAAATTATACATACCAGCGCAGACTTTTTCTCTTTTTCCTTTGTGGAAATACTCTCTTGACTCTCAAAAAACTGCTTTTCTACCACATATTTAAATGTACAACTACTCTATGATAAAGAGAAAAGGTGATTAACTTATTTTATGGTTCACTATAAAACTGTTCTGATTCTGATTATTTTAATAGCTGAGTTCATTATTTCTTCATTTTAACAACTCAAAATTGTAGGGAAAACACGGCTCCTAGTTTAACAGGATGCAATCAAAAGTCAAGGAACAGAAAGAATATAAATAAGTAAGCTGAAATGGCAAAGCGTTTATGTGTTTGGGAAGAAGAAATGGAAGGAGGAAGGGTAATAATGTGGTGTTACATGTGTAAATAATTAACAAAATAACATTTTTCTAAGGGGAAAAACTACCTTAGAATAACAGATCTAACTTTTTTATAGAAAGGGGAAAAGTTCTTTATGAAAGGAGAAGTTTTATTTAGAGTAAGGGAATAGTTATTGGGTAGGGAGATCTGAATTTGCCTACAGTATTTATATTCTTCCTTGATATATAATTTTCTGCCTATGACTTCCCACTTATAATGATCTTCAAAATTCAGTTGTCTTTCAAATTCCCAACTTGTTTTTAAGTGGTTCCTTATAACTATACTTAAGCTTTGGTACTGATGTTTCCTTTGACTTTTCATCAAAGACTGCAATTTCCTGAAAATTCCTTTGCAATTTTCAAAGATAATCCAAACTTCTACATGCTTCTCTTCTCCTTCCTACAGAGGAGACAAGCTATATAAACATGAAAGAAAAATAACTAAGGAGATGGGAGCTATAGTTCTAATCTTTGGATTTTTCCTCTTTTTATATTTCTCTAGTTTCTTAACAGTTTAACTGTGGGAAACCAAACAGAACTCCAAATTTGAGTCTCCCCCAATCTCTGCCTGTCACATCCTGTAAGCCAGAGGATGTGACCTCCTCCATGTATTTCTCTTTAGTCCCCAGTAATGTTTGCTGAATAAATGTTTGCTGAATTAATGAATCTGTGAGGTATTAATATCTTCTTTATTACTTTCTAAAATAAAACATAAAACAACTTTTTAAGATAAGCTAATAAGACCAGATATGTATGACCAATCTGAACATGGTTTTTAAAAAAATTTTCTTACAAGTTATTTTAATAATTTTATCTGTTAGATAATCGTAACATAATTGCCACAAAGCAATTCCTTACGTAGAGATATTTATGAAGATTGTAAGTTTAGTCAAGGATGCTTTTAATAGCATCTTTTTCAATTCACTACTTTAAAACTTCAAGATATACTTGCTGATTATATACTTAATTATCATGAAAGAACTTGCTTAATGGATTTAAATGTAAATACTAGTTAAAACCTTGCCTGATGCAACATAGGAAACCTAAATTTTAAATCTAAATTTAAAAATTGATTTTAAAAATCAACTGAAGATAACAAAAGTTAAGGATATTTGGTAGTTAGATTTTTGTCTCTTCCAAACCATACCAAAATTTGGTATGGTATTAAGAATCTAGGCCTGTTTTATTTCATTGTGCTTTCAGAGAGCTTGACATTACTTCAAAAGGCAGACTAGCTATTTCACTAACCTGTAGAAATTACAGGGAAATAGCTTTCCATGGAAAAGTAGGCGATCTCTAGGTAGATGAATGAAAAACACCTTCTCAACATGCAGTACTTGTTTCCAAAATGTTATAATCGTAACTCATCCTCTACTCAACTATACCTTTTTAAATCTCCTAACTTTATACCATTTTCTCCCAGCATTTTAACTATTCTGTATTTGTCTTCCAATTCTGCACTATCTTTAATTTATCCTTTGTCTTCTCAATCCACTATGCAATGAGTCGCCATGGTTAGAGAATATATTCAGCCTTGAAGACTACGGAACTGTTCTTCCATTGCCCAAATAATAAAACATGTTGGTTCAGTCAGAAATTCAGAGTACTGAATTAATTATTCAGCAATGACTGTTCCTATAATTTCTGCTACATTCCTGTTCAATGTTAGTTGAATTTATATTGAATATTAATTATCAGTTAAATATTGCTCAATTGATCATGGTTCAATAATCTATTGATAAGATTATAAGGGTGAATGGGCTAGCCAGATGATTGATATCCACTCATTTATATGCAATATAATCATGTAAAATATTTCCAAATATTATCTTTGGTCACAAAGTTATAAATAGGTATTATGTCAATTTCATTAGTGCCCATTGTTTTCCTATACTGATATGTCTCAGGAGCAAAATATTATTATATAACAGGAAGGAATTTTCTCATAAGGCTTCCCCAAACCTTTTACATTTTTAATATTGAAAATGTAGGATTATCAGAAATAGAAATAATCCCTAAATGGCACTTACAGGCAAACTGAATCTTTTTCTCATAGTTTATTAGGGACTTCCATTTGAGTAGCCATATGACAATATTTACCTTTTCTTCTATAATAGTGATTTTAAATTTATTACAGAGCTTCAAATAATTAAACACTGAATAGCAGCTAGCCTAAATTTTAACAAGCTCCATCTCTATTATACATATAAATAAAATAATTAAAGTTTAAAAGTGTACAAAGTTTTATGAAGACCATTTTAGGATATAGCTTAGGAAAACCACTGAAAATGTTTGACTATTTTTGAACCACACCCCCAAAAATTATTCTTTCCATAAAAACCCTGAAGTCTTTATCATAGTAGTTTAGATAATAACAGATGAAATATCAACATTCAAGAACTACCTTTTTAAAAAAATCAATTGTCACAGTTCCCTAGCTTATACTTCTTAATTGTGATAGACTGTTCTTTTTTATTTGTTGATTTGCAATAAAACCATCTAGAAACAAGACAAAGTTCGTGTTCAGCTGTGATGTTTTAACACATATGGGATATACATACTTTTTATTCTATTCATTAATGTGGGATATGCTTTCAAAACAGCAAGGAAATTTATTTAGTATATTACCTCATATTGTGGATATAAGGTTTGCCTTATGAGAGATATTGGAGCAGAGAATTTGGGGGGACCTGGAGCCCAAAACATTTTCACACATCCTGGGTAAATGAACACCTTGGAAATAAAACAAAATATAGTTTAAAAGGTGTATCTAACAAATAACTATATATAGTCAAACATTTTTGTCACTATTTCTCCAAGTCAGAAAGGGGAGGGTAGGCCAGATTTAACTGATCCCATGACCTCTGAAGTGCCTTTTAAAAAAATATTTATTTATTTTTGGTTTTCAGAATTCATATCCATAAGATTTTGGATCTTATGGTCATCTCCCCACCTCTCCCTGTTCCCCCACCCCAAGACGGCATGCAATTTGATATAGGCTCTACATATACATTTATAGTAAACCTATTTTCACATTAGACATGTTGTAAAGAAGAATTAGAACCAATGGAAGAAACCATGAGAAAGTAGAAACAAACAAAAAAAAAGAAGAAGAAAAACAGAGAGAGAGCAAACAATATGCTTTGATCTGCATTCAAGCTCCATAGTTCTTTTTCTGGATGTGCACAGCATTTTCCACCACGAGTCTTTTGGAGTTGTCTTAGATCCTTGCATTGCTAAGAAGAGATAAGTCTGTCAAAGTTAGTCATCGCACAATGTAGCTGTTACTGTGTACAGTGTTCTCCTGGGTCTGCTCACTTCACTCAAACTTCATATAAGTCTTTTCAGGTTTTTCTGAAATCTGTCTGGCCCTTTGGGCATAGTTCCAAATTGCTCTCCAAAATGGTTGGATCAGTTTACAACTCCACCAACAATGCATTAATGTTCCAATTTTCCCACATCTGCCCCAGCATTTACCATTTTCCTATCTTGTAATGTTGGCCCACCTGATAGGTGTGATGTGGTACCTCAGAGTTGTTTTGATTTGCATTTCTCTGATCAATAGTGATTTAGAGTGTTTTTTCATATGACTATGGATAGCTTTAATTTCTTCATCTGAAAATTGCCTGTTCATATCCTTTGACAATTGAACAATTGGGGAGTCACTTTCATTCTTATACATTTGACGCAGTTCTCTATATATTTTAGAAACAAGACTTTTATCAGAGACGCTGATTATAAACTCTTTCCCAGTTATCTGCTTCCCTCCTAATCTTGGTTGCATTGGCTCTGTTTGTGCAAAAATTTCAATTTAAAGTAATCAAAATTATCCATTTTGTATTTCACAGTGTTCTCCACCTCTTGTTTGGTAATAAATTCTTCTGTTCTCCTTAAATCTGACAGGTAAACTATTCCTTGCTCTCCCAATTTGCTTATAGTATCAGCCTTTATAGCTAAATTATGTACTCATTTTTTACTTTATTTTGGTGCAGGATGTAAGATGTTGGTCTATGCCTAGTTTCTGCCATACTGTTTTCCAGTTTTCCCAGCAGTTTTTGTCAAATAGTGGGTTCTTATCCCACAAGCTAGAGTCTTTGGGTTTATTAAATAGTAGATTACTGTAGTCATTGACTACTTTGTCTTGTGTACCTAACCTATTCCACTACTCCACCACTCTGTTTCTTAGCCAGTACCAAGTGGTTTTGATGATTGTTGCTTTATAATACAATTTAAGATCTGGTATGGCTAGGCCACCTCCCCTTATATTTCTTTTAATTAATCCCCTTGATATTCTTGACCTTTTGTTCTTTCAGATGAATTTTGCTATTATTTTTTCTAGCTCTATCAAATAGTTTTTTTGGTAGTTTGATTGGAATGGTACTGAATAAGTAAATTAATTTATGTAGAATTGTCATTTTGATTGTATTGACTCAGCCTACCCATGAGCAACTGATGTTTTTCCAATTATTTAGATCTGACTTGTGCGAAAAGTGTTTTATAATTGTGTTCATATAGTTCCTGGGTTTGTTTTGGCAGGCAGACTCCGAAATCTTTTATAATGTCTACAGTAACTTTATATGGGAATTCTTTTTCTATCTCTTGCTGTTGGGCCTTGTTGGTAACATATAGAAATGCTGATGATTTATGTAGGTTTATTTTATATCCTGAAACTTTGCTAAAGTTGTTTATTATTTCAAGTAGTTTTTTTACTTGATTCTCTAGGATTCTCTAAGTATATCATCATATCATTTGCAAAGAGTCATAGCTTTGCTTCTTCTTTGTCTATTCTAATTCCTTCAATTTCTGTTTCTTCTCTTATTGCTAAAGCTAACACTTCTAGTACCATATTGAACAACAGTGGTAATAATGGACATCCTTGTTTCACCCTGATCTTATTGGAAATGCTTCTAGCTTATTTCCATTACATATAATGCTTGCTGATGGTTTTAGGTAGATACTACTTATCATTTTAAGGAAGACTCCATTTACTCCTTATGCTCTCTAGTGTTTTTAACAGGAATGGGTGTTGTATTTTGTCAAATACTTTTTCTGCATCTATCATGTCATTGCTGTTAGTTTTGTTGCTGATATGGTCAATTATGCTGATAGTTTTTCTAATACTGAACCAGCCCTGCATTCCTGGTATAAATCCTACCTGGTCATAGTGTATTATTCTTGTGATAAATTGCTGTAATCTTTCTGCTAATACTGTATTTGAAATTTTTGCATCTATATTCATTAGAGAAATTGGTCTATGATGTTCTTTTTGTGTTTTGACTTTTCTCGGCTTAGGTGTCAGTACCATATTGGTATCATAAAAAGAATTTGGTAGAACTCTTTCTTTGCCTGTTTTCCCAAATAGTCTATATAGTATTGTAATTAATTGTTCTTTAAATGTATGATAGAATTAGTTTGTAAATCCATTTGGCCCTGGAGATTTTTTCTTAGGGAGTTCATTGATAGCTTATTCAATTTCTTTTCTTGAAATGGAGTTATTTAAGTATTTTATTTCCTCTTTTAATCTGGGCAATTTATACTTTTGTAAATATTCATCCATTTCACTAATATTGTCAACTTTATTGGCATACAGTTGGGCAAAATAGCTCCTAATTATTCTTTTAATTTCCTCTTCACTGGTGATGAACTTACCCTTTTCATTTTTGATACTGTAATTTGATTTTCTTCTTTCTTTTTTTAATCAAATTAACCAAAGGTTTATCTATTTGATTGTTTTTCACTCATAAAACTAGTTCTTAGTTTTATTTATTAATTTAACAGTTTTCTTAATTTCAATTTTATTAATCTCTCCTTTGGTTTTCAGTATTTCTAATTTGGTATTTAATTGGGGATTTTTAATTTGTTCTTTTTCTAGCTTTTTTTGGTTGCATGCCCAATTCATTGCTCTCCTCTTTCTCTATTTTATTCATGTAAGCATTTAGAGATATAAAGCCTCCCCTAAGAACTGTTTTTGCTGCATCCCATAAGTTTTAATATGTTGTCTCATTATTGTCATTGTCTTGAATGAAGTTATTGATTGTTTCTATGATTTGTTGTTTGACCCATTCATTCTTTTGGATTAGACTATTTAGCTTCCAATTAATTTTTAGTCTATCTTTCCATGGCCCTTTATTACATATAATTTTTATTGCATCATGATCTGAGAAGGATTCATTTAATATTTCTGCCTTTCTATATTGGATTGTGAGGTTTTTATGCCCTAGTACATGGTCAGTTTTTGTGTAGGTGCCATGTACCACTCAGAAAAAGGTATATTCCTTTCTAGCCCCATTCGATTTTCTCCAGAGGTCTACATACTAACTTTTCTAAATTTTCACCTCCTTAACTTCTTTCTTGTTTATTTTGTGGTTAAATTTATCTAGTTCAGAGAGGGGGAGGTTGAGGTCCCCCACTAGTATAGTTTTGCTATCTATTTCTTCCTGTAACTCCCTGAACTTCTCCTCTAAGAATTTGAATGCTGTACCACTTGGTGCATATATATTTAGTAATGATATCACTTCATTGTCTATCATGCCTTTTAGCAGGCACATTATCTCCTTTAATATAGTCTATTTTTGCTTTTGCTGTGTCTGAGTTCAGGATTGCTACCCCTGCTTTTTTTTTAACTTCAGCTGAAGCATAATATATTCTACTCCAGCCTTTTACCTTTGCCCTGCATGTACACCTCTGTTTCAGATGTGTTACTTGTAAACAACATATTGTAGGATTATGGTTTTTAGTCCATTCTGCCATCTGCTTCTGTTTTATGAGAGAGTTCATCCCACTCACAAATTCGCAGTTATGATTACTATCTCCTTCCATCCTATTCCCCACTCCCCTATTTATGCTTTTCTTTCTCCTTTCTCCCTTTCCCACCTCACTAGCATTTTGCTTTTGACCACTGCCTCCCTCAATCTGCCCTCCTTATCAGCCCCCTCCCTTTTCTTTCTCTTTTCCTTTACTACTTCTACCCTCCCTCCTATCACCTCCTCCCTTTTCTTTCCCCTTTCCCCTCCTACTGCCTATAGGGCAAGTTTGATTTCTATACCTAACTGAGTATGTTATTCCCTCCTTGAACCAAATCCAATAAGAGTAAGGTTCAAACAATGCTCATCTCCTTCCCGTCTTTTCCTCTACTGTAGTATGTCTTTGTGCTTCTTTGCATAATGTAATTTACCCTTTTCTGCCTCTTCCTTTCCTCTTCTCCTATTACAACCCCTTTCTACCACTTATATTTTTTTTATCATCACATCAAAGTCAAGTTATACCCACACCCTCTATGTATATCCCTTCTAAATGTCATAATAAAGATACAGTTATCAAGAGTTACAAGAATCATCTTCCTATGTAGGGATGTAAACAGTTTGCGCTTATTAATAACATAGTGTTTTTTTCTGTTCTGTTTACCTTTTTATGTCTCTCTTGAGTCTTTTATTTGAAGATCAAATTTTCTAATGATCTCTGGTCTTTTCATCAGGAAGGCTTGGAAGTTACCTATTTCATTGCATATCCATCTCTTCCCCTGAAAGATTATGCTCATTTTCACTGGATAGTTGATCCTTGGTTGTAATCCAAGCTCCTTTGCCTTATGGAATATTGTATTCTACATCAATTCTAACTTTTAATGAATTGTTTTCTTCAGTTAGCTTTTGTACCTCCTTTTCCTTTTGGCCAATTCTACTTTTTAAGGAGGTATTTTCTTCAGTATACTTTTTTTTTTCCATTTTGTCAATTGTATTTTAAAGGAATTGTTCATTTTTTCTTTTACCTCTCTTATTTAACTTCTAAAATCCCCCTTGAGCTCTTCCAAGAAGGCTTTTTAAGCTTGAGACCAGTTCATATTCCCCTTTGAGGTTTTGGATGTGGGTATGTTGACAATGTTGTCCTCTCCTGAATTTGTTTTTTGATCTTCCCTGTCACCATAATACTTCTCTATGGTCATTGTCTTTCTTTTTTGCTTTTTGTTCATGTTTTTTCCCCTTTTTCTGGCTTTTAAAGTTGATCTTTGCTTCTGGGGCACAGGGAAGCACTGTCCCACTCTTCTCATACTGGGGTTAGGGGCCTGGTTACTGGTTTTGTTTGCTGGGGCCTCAGGTATTAGCAACTGGAGGCTGTAGGGGTCTGGCAGCTTACCTAGTACTGAGCTGGAGCTGGTGGTGGTGGCTGGGGTGTGCCTGGTGTTGGTGCTTGCCTGATACACCATCCTGGAGCTCAGGATCTCCCACTGGTTTGCTGAGGTGGGGCTTGCCGCTGGCTTGCTGGGATGTCTCCCATCCTGTATTGGTCCCCTTCAGCCACAGCAAGAGGTCCCTTTCCCATTAATCCCCCTAGTCTCCTGAGCTAAAAGACTGCCGTGCCTCATCTTTCTGCTGGCTCCACCATTCCAGGATTTTTCCTGGGACAATAATTTCTGGGTTTTTCAAGGTCAATATAAGCGAGGGTGAAAGTGACTTACTGCTTACTCCACCATCTTGGCTCTCAGAAATCAAAATAGGTGACTTTCAAACATTCAGTCTGTGGGCTGATAGCTCCAGAAGCCGTCCCTGCTGCTGCCATTGCTGCTGCCATTGCTGATTCAGTCACTCCCTAGGCCTGCTCCTGGTTTGTCAGGGCTAGGGCTGTATTGGTGCAGTCTGTGCTAAACTGCACTTCTCTCTCACCCAGTTCCAACAGACCCCCTCCTGCCGACTTTCTAAATTGTCTTTGGTGTCTGTGGGCTGAGAAGTCTGGAAACCTGCCACTACTGCCAGTGATTCAGCCCTCCAAGGCCTCCTCTGGATTTGCTGGGGCTGGGTCTGAGCTGGTGGCCTGAGTTGGACTGTGCTCCTCTCTCAGCCTGGTGCAATGGATCTTTCCTGTTGACCTTCCAGGTTGTTTTAGGCTGGAAATCTGCCTCACTCTGTCTCTTTGTGGTGCTGCCACTCTAGAATTTGTTCAGAGTCACTTTTTAAAGGTATTTGAAGGGGTTTGAGGGAGAGCTCAGGTTGAGTCCCTGCTTTCACTCTGCCATCTTGGCTCTGCTCTCCACCTCCCCGCATTAAGGACTCAAATCTATATCCTCTGTGAGAACACCAAGTATCATTCACTTATTTCTACTGGTCAGGTTGCGAAGGTCTTAAGTTTATTGGTTCTGAGGAGCCAAGAAGGCCAGGGTATACTCCCAGTTTGCTTTCACAAGTAAACAAGACAAACGCCATGTGCTTCAAACTCCATGGAAAAAAACCCCAAGGAGTTAAAATTCACCCAGATACAAGGATCAAGAAGGACAGAGTCCCAAGACCAGGAACTTCCATCAAGCTGTGCCCGTGTCTCAGTGGGTCTAGCTAGAATGATTATTCTGGCTTTTCCAGAACAAAGCATGATAGGATAATATTCACTAATATCCAACCTGACCCTTATTTGTCCCTACTCCTACAAAAACCCTACTCCTAAGGAGCAATGGTGAGGTGTAATTCAGAATAGCTGGCTATGGTTCATTGTTGCACCTTCATCCCAGAATTTTATTTCTATACACAAAGGGTGTTTCCAATCTGTCCAAGGCTGAGTAGCAGCTTCTACCCATTAGCAGACCTCCCCTACCCTCTTCACCGCTGCTGAGATTATAATTGTTTATTCTTCCATTCTGTAAGAACTCCACTGTCTTTGGGGGGGGGGGGAAATAAAATATTAAACTTAAAAAAAAATAACTCCACTCTCTTCTCCCCTCCATGTCCGCCTCCCTTGAGAAACCATTCCCTTTCATTCTGTGTTAAGCACAGGGGCCATTTGACTGCTGTCTGCTATTAACTCTTTTCAATCACTAACGTCAACCAGCTAAAAAACATCAATTATCTAATTATTATCTAATCTATAATCTAATCTAAATATATAATAATCTAATAATTATTATTTAAAACATTATTATCTAATATCCAGATGAAGACTGAAGTGTTTGGTCAAGAATCCACACATTTTCAAATATCCATATATTCAGTGAATATATACAAACTCTTGGATATTTGATTGAATTTTAAAATTTCCATTGGAATGTTTGATATCATGTAGGTATAACATATGGTTGTGCCTGCATTGTCACAGAAAAGCATATTAAATGCAAAACATTTAAAATTCCAATTTCTGGGCAGAACAGAACATTTTCATAAATGGTAGTAACCATGGTTGATTTTTGTCAAGGAAGACACTGTGTTATAGAATGTTTTTATAAATAATAATATTAGGTATTTCCAATATTAAGCAAATCCAGCCCATCCCACTGAAAAGTTTCTTCTATTAAAAAAAAATTAGTTTAGTAATTTTTAGAACAGACCATTTAGTTCTATATACATTACTCTCGCTTTAACAAACGAATACTAACAGTGGCATTGCCTGGTATGCTACAATTACCCAAGGTTCCAGGCAAAAGCAAAAACATACAAATTATGAACTGGGACATAATCTAAAAAACTTTATGCAGGCTATCTCTGTGTTTTTGGGTAAGAGCATACCTAAATTATCTCATACAGATACTATCTATCTGATCCCTAAAAATCTTCCCATGGATCCCATCTTCTGTCTATCTAGTATTTAGTTAGTTGAAAAGCTAACATTTAACTACCTTAATCAGATCAAGAGACAGGCAAAGGTAATGTTTTACCTGACATACTGCTTGGCTAGAAACTTAGATTAAATTTGCTAGATAAATACCAAATTTCCTTCCTACTTTGTGAAATACAATCTAGTCAGTGAATTCTTATTATTTGGAAGAAGAAATGTTCTAAATCAGTTTGTAGTTCTTCCATAAATGAAGATCTTCAAGATCATGATGATTTAGTATTATATGGCACATAAAACATATAAAAAATCTATAAATTATCTGGGAAAGATCTGAGGGTTTTAGTGAATTCACAAGCTCAACATCAGTCCACAGTGCGATATGGCAACCTACAAAGATAATGCCATCTTAGTCTGCCTTAAGAGAGGTGTAGCTTCTAAGAACAAGAGTACTGCCATCTGTCTTCTGCCATAGATAGTATATTCAATTCTGGGAATCACCTTTCTGGAAGGACATTGATTAGCTGGAAAGCATACAGAGGAGAGCAAGGGCTGGAGGCTTCCTGTTCTTTGGGGCTGATTGAAGGAAATGAGGCACAACCATAGATTATTCCTACACAATATCAAAACTGGAGAACAGAAAACTTAAGGGAAACATTTTACCTGTTTTCTTGTATTTAAAGAGATGCCCCATTGGAAAGGGATTGGATGCATTCTATTTGGCTCCAGAGTACAAATGTAGGAATCATGGGTAAAAGAGCAAATTTAGGCTTGATATTTGGGAAAGCTTTGTAATTAGAGTTATCCAAAAGTGGAATGAGCTGTCTCAGAAAGTAGAGGGTTCCCTTTCTTTGGAAATGTTTCATATAAAGTGTTTTATACTTGTTAGATATGATGCAGAAGAAATTAACTTTTCAAGTATGAGCTGGACTAGATGGATAACTAAGGTATTTTCCAACTCTGAAACAGTGATTCTATAATTCTGAGGCCTACTTATCCATACGGGAACAAACAAATGGATGGAAAGCGTGTAATATCCACACTACACATAAGTTGATATATCTAGGATAGATCCTAGCTGGGCCCAGAACTTGCATTTGGGAAAATGCAGAGCACTTTTAATGATCCCAAGATGTTTCCCAAAACAAAACCCTATCTTTTTTAATATCTATGTTCTTCTATTCTGTATGGCTGCAAATCATATAACATCACACCAGGTAAAGTATTTAATTTGGATGTGGCCCAAAGGGAAATGGAAACACATGGAATGGATATAAGTAGGCTGACAAACATTTCTGATGATGACCTATGAACAAAAAATGAATACAGGATATTACACAGGAAATGTACAACTGGAAAAGGAGGTGAGGTGGCCATAGTAGCAGTAGAAATAATAATAACTAATATTTATATAGAACTTTAAAGTTTGCAAAACACTTTTCAAATATTATCTCAAAAGACAGATAATCCGTGGGTACTAATAATGGGACCCACATAATGTAAAGAATCTTAGAGGAAGGCCTCTGGCACATTGAGTAAATACTCAGTGGAGGACCTATGGGAAAATATAAGAATTACATAGACTAAGAAGGCACAAATAGGTTAAATGAAGCATTACATAAAGTTATCAAAAGCAGTTCTTACTTCTTCTCCTGAGAGTTGAAGAGATGGTTTTTCATTTGGTTTTTTCCATTTAATTAAAGTTGTTGATGTTTCTGGAGAAATATTTTCATTTTTGTCCTTAGCTTTTGAAGTAGGAACTCCATAGAGTATTCTGTAATACATTTTCAGAAATTAAGCTAGTTTTAAAAATAATTGTTAATCTGACAATATGAACAAAATTCATTACTATTTCAAATTTAGGCAAAATTAGATGCAAACTCTTGAATGTAGTAAAGAGATACATTCTAACAGTTACATTTGAATATCACTATAGAATACCTCAAACTAAAGAGGCCTGGAGGTATGGGGGCAACACCATCAAATACCTCAAACCAAATAATAAAGTCTGCCAATTCAATTAAGCAGAATAAGCAATAAAATACCATTCACTCAGGGAAAAAATTACACAGAGAATATGTATTGCCCAGATTATAACAGTGGGTAATCCACCAAGTATACATTTGAAAGGAACAGAGGAACAATGAAGCAGGCTCATACTAAATAAAAAAAAAAAAGGTTAGGATGCATTTGGGAGACTTAAAGGGTTTTTTGGTGATCACAAAGTGCTTATAGCCAAGAAAGCCCTTCTTAACATGACAGTGACTCATAGAATGAATGAATGAATAAAAAACATTTCTTAAGCACCTACCAAAACACTACACTATGACTGCGTATGTATAATCTATACAAACTGCTTGCCTTCTCAATGAGGAGGGAGGGAGACAATCTAGAAGACAGAATTTTTCAAAACAAATGTTAAAAAATTTTTACATGTAAGTGGAAAAAATAAAATATTTGGAAAAAACCCACTGTGATAAACACTGGCAGATGCAAACAGAAAAAAAAAAACCAGTCCCTTCCTCCAGAGGAGCCCACACTCTAATAAGGAAAACAGCATACATCAGAGGTTGCAGTTACAAGGTTTAGGATTCCTTAGGGTATAGCAACAAGGAAGATGGTGATAGGTCTTCTTTAATTTCATTTCCACTAATAAAACCTATCTATTTATGATGTTGAAGCATTCTACAGTGGCAAGGAGTTTGATGTGAGTACTTTTTCCCGCCCTGATCTTCAGTAGCTAGGACATGGGAGCCATCAGTTATCAGCTTACTACTCTACAATCTATCTCACCCCTGGATAATGGCTACATGGGTTGGTCTTGAAACACGGCCAGTGGTCTAGGAGGCTCTGTTGCTCCTAATACCTTGGAATTACTTCCTTACCAGTGGAACTTAGCTGGCTGGCCATTGGTGTTGTTGGTGGCCAAGGATGATGGGTCCCTTCTCCAAAGGGTCTGCTCCTCTGAATGATGGCTCTGGGTGGCTGGGCTTGAGGCAAGGCTAGTGGCTTAGGGGAGTTGCTGCTATTCCATGGAGCACTTACGACCTCAAAAGGATCATCTCCCATTTTTAGCACATTTGCCCTCTTGAAATTATTAAAAAAAAATTTTTTTAAAATCTATTTATTTGTCTGCCTGTGGAATCCCCAGTAGATCCTTGAAATCAAGGGACTAGTTCATTTTTTTCTTTGCATTTTCTTTGCGTTCTTTATTCCTAGAACAGTGCCTGGTACATAGTAAGCACTTAATAAATGCTTATTGACTGATTATGTCAATACCAGGGTTCTTCTTTTTCACTATATGTATGTGTATATATGTATGTATGCATGTATGTATGTATGTATGTAGTCAGGCTCCAAAGGTAATGACTGGGGAGCAAATAAAAAGGTAAGGAAGACTCTTACTTTTTTCCCCCAACTAGTTTATAGCAGAAGTTCCTTTTCCAAATTCAAAGAGTTGCAAGGAAATGTATGTCTGTGTCAATCAGAGATATTTACGGGAAGGAAAAAATGAGGGGAGTCAAAAAAATGCAACATAGAGTAAATGTTCAGGCACCAGTAATGCCCAGCTGAAGCAGGACAAGGACTTGATGAATAAAGATCATCAGTTTCCTCCCCATTCCCCAGAACACAGATGCTTTTACCAGAACTCCAGCCACAAAGGTGAGCAGCCAAGATTACAAGCAGTTTTATACCTTGCTGCTTGCCCCTTTGGCTTCCATTTGGAGAAACTGCATCTCAGCCACTACCCTCGGCACTGATGCTGTTACAAATTACTCTCACACTCTTTCTATGTACACTGCCTTCCCAGCTGCCCCTGCTTCTGAGGAAGGGAACCAAATTACTTCCCTTTCCCTCTCAGGTTCCTTACTCTTTCCCATGGGCTCCTTCAAGCCCCACCTCTATCCCCACACTGTGATATTTCCTTCACTCAGAAGATAAGCAAAAACTCAAAATCCCAGAAAACTGCATGGGTACAGGTCATTCTCCCCTCCTGGGGAGGCAGAATTTCTGCCTCCCAAATTTTCAAGAAGGTTGTTACCATTGAATGATTGAATCAAAACTCGGTGATTGTAGGCGAAAGGTGCTTGGTGGTTAAAAGCAGGCCGAGGCAAATCATCAAAAACAGCATGTGCAAAAAGTGGCATAGAAATATCAGTGGAGACATAACATATCCAGAAATGCCAATGTGCTGATCATGTAATAAGGGTGAAGGATAACATTTGGACAGACCGAAGACTGAATGTTGTTTTTGTTGTTGTTTTGGTTGAATCTTTAACTTTTTTCGGTTACAGTACTCCTGGTGTGGAAATTCCTCCAACTGATGCAGATCGGCAGCTCATTAGCCAATAAGCATTTAATTAAGGTAAAGCCTTCTATGCACCAGGCCCTATGAGATAGGAGTAGGAAGATGAAAGAGAGTGGTGACTTGGGAGCACAGGACATTGCTTGAGAGAATTGCTTGGTAGAATATTACATCATAGAAGCTTTAATTAGTCAGAGGGCAGCAAAAGAATATTAGGTGCCTGGGCAGGGGAGGGTATCCGGAGGTTAAAGGACATCAAATACAAACCATATAAACTGTCATTTTTCCAGAGTCAGCTCTACTGCTTCATCCAGAGATTAAAAAAAAAATCAGATCTTCCTCAAAGGGGCTTGATGGAATTTCTCAGCCAATGTGGATTCTAACTTTGAGAAAAAGATACACCTCCTCCCCCATTCCACCTAAGGACTCAGTCAGTTGTGGGAGAGGGGTAGTCAAGTTCTCTAGTCCTAACATATGAGCCTTCCACATACAGAGGCATCTCTTCTCTGTGGGACTGGGAGCTTACCCCCAAAAATCTTCTGCCTGACCACAAGTGAAAAGCTCCTCTCCACTGTCCTCCAGTCAACTTGTCCACTTGCCTGTCCTTACTTATTCAAATATTTTAGGCAATGTGTTTAGCTTAAAAGGAATATAGCTTGGAATTATAGCACCAGAAATTATTTTAAAAGGTCATATTGCCTCAAAGTAGAGATTTGACAATGTATATGTGTTGGAGGCATTGGTATTTAGTGGGTGTGTAGAAATGAGTTTTTTTTTTAAAATGTGATGGGAAGGACATTTTTTCTTTTTTTTTTTAAACTTAACATTAACTACATTACCACATGCTAACAGTGACATCTGGTGGCATTATACTGTTTTACTTTTTTAAACATTTCCAGAGCTCAAATATTTGTTTTCCTTTTAACTTACATTCAATCTTAACTATATTTTGTATTAAAGTTTCCTTTAAAAATAAGAGATGATAGTGGGCCAAAAATGGGTGAAAAGATATAAGAAAAAGATTCTGAAAGGATTGTGATCTTGAACCAGTTTCAAATTAATGTTAATATCTAAAATGAGAGATAATACAAATTATGATCATATAAGATTTATTATATTAGAAAAGAGTTATGCAGCATTTACATGCAAAGGCATAGTTTAGGCAGGGGATATAAGGAAAAATAAGACATGGCTCTGCCTGATCTATTCTACTATAGATGCATGGCACCCCCATGTTACCCAATTTGTGGCAGCTGAAGCAGCCAGCCTTCGTCAATTGTCTATGTATCATGGATATTGAATTCTTCTCAGAAATATCTAATATAAAGAATATTCCCCAATTGACCATTTCCCTTCTTATTCTAGTTGCCTTAATTTTGTTAAAGCCAATGTTTTTCAATTTTATGTAATTGAAATTATCTATTTTATCTTTTGTAATCACCTCTATCCCTTCTTTGGTTAAGAATTCATCTCTTCCTCATCAGTAGCTACAAAAGGCAATATCAATGCCTCTTCTAATTTCTTTAATGTCTTTAATATTTAATGTCTTTAATATTCAAGCTCACAGATACATTTTGGTTTGTTATGGAATATGGTATAAGATATGATAAATTTAATTTCTGTCAGACTTTTCCGTTTTCCCCAGCAATTGTTGTCAAATAGGGAGTTCTTTCCTAGGTAATTAACGTTTTTTGTGTTCATTGAACATTGGGTTTTATGTTCAATTATATCTCATTTTTCTTTTCTAGTCTGTTCCAGAAATCTGCTTTTAAAGTAGATAGATGACTACTGCTTTATAATATATTTTGTTGTCTAGAAGTGCTATTCCTTCTTCATTTGTATCTTTCTCCCTAATTATTTCCCAGATTGTCTAGATTTTTTATTGTTCCAAATGAATTGTATTATTATAAAAGCCCTATAAAGTAGACTTTTGGTAATTTTGTAGGCATAGCACCAAGTCTGCAAATTAACTTCAGAAGTATTTTCATTTTTCTTATATTGACATGGCTCATCTATAAGCTACGTTAAACTGGGCCCATCTATAACCTTGAGTTAAGTTGTTCTTTGTTTCTTTAAGAAGTATGTTGTAATTATGTCTACACAGCTGTTGAGAATGATTTGGTAAATTCACTCCTAGATATTTTATGCATTTTGAGGCTAATATGGATTGGAATTCCATTTTATTATGTTGCCCTGGATTTTGTTATTGCTATATAGAAATGACATTTACTTTTGTGAGTTTATTTTTGTAGTTTAAATCTTTGTTGAAGTTATTGTCTTATTTAGTTTCTTTGTTGATTCCTAGGACTTTTTAAGTAAACCATCATGTTATCATGAACTAGTGGATAGAGTGCTGGGCCTGGAGTCAAGAAGACCTGAGTTCAAATCTGTTCTCAGACACTCATTAGCTGTGCTACCCTGGTCTAATCATTTAACATTTTTGCTTCAGTTTCATCAGCTGTAAAATAGGGAGATAATAATAGCACCTACTTCATAGGATTGTTGTAAGGATCAAATCAGATTATATTTGTAAAAGTACTCAGCACAATGCCTGTCTATAACAGAATTAAAAGCTAGTCCTCTGAAACGACTAACCAAATTGATAAACTTGTAGCCAACAAATTGGAAAGAAATTGAAAATAAGTGGACTGTTGTGATGTTATCTTGTTTGTTTCCCCCCCCTTACTTTTGTTTTTTTTTAATTTGTTGATTTTCTAATTAAGGGATATAATTTTTTCTTCTAAAGACTACTTTAGCTGAAGCTCAGAACTTTTCATATGTTGTCTCATCATTATTGTGTTCTTTCACATTGTTATTAATTATTTCTATGATTATTTTTCCCCCTTAAGCCAATTACTATTTAGGATTTTGTTAATTCTCTGTAGGAGATTAGTCAATAAAGAATTAGAAGAAAAATAAGAGTGAGAAAAATTTGTATCAAACGTCATTGATATACAAAATACACTGGAAACAGACACAAATCGCTAATAATAAGAAATTAATATTAAAATGACTCTGCGGTTTTTGCCACATACTTTAGCAAAGATATTATAAAACAGAACTCATATTTACCAATTCTAGGAAAACAGGCACACTAACATATTACTGGTGGATCTGTCAATTGGCCTAACCATTATAATTTGGAATTATGTAAGAAATATCATTTAATTATTCATAGGCTTTGACTCAAAAATCTCATGTCTACCCAAAGTATATATAGTTTAAAGAGGTCAATGACAGAGAGATCTCATATATTACAATATGTTCATTGCAACAATCTATATTATAAGGAGAAAAAAATCTAGAAACAAAGTAGATGTCCATCAACTGAAAAATAGGTGAACAAATTGTAGTACATTAATTTAATGGGATATTGTTATGCCAAAAGAAATGATAGATATGAAGAATTAAGAAAAATTTGGGAAGGTTTATATAAATTTATACAAATTGAAATAATCAGAATCAAGATAACAATATACACATATACACATGACCATAACAATTTAAAGGAAAGCAACCCATATGAACAATCATGATTCCAGAGGTCTGATGATGAAATAGTTTCTCTCCCCCTGGTAGAGAGGTGGTGGACCAGAGGTACAGAATAAGACAAAGGGTATCAGATGTAGACAATGTATCAATTTATTTGCTTAGTAGTGCTTTTGCTACAATGGTGGGTTCTACTGAGAATGTGGTATTAGTATATGGCAGAAATCTTTTTAAAAGTATCAATAAAACATTTAAACAAAAATAAGTATGTAAGTACTTATTGAATTAAAAATTGAAAGGCATACTGGAATAAATTTGGAAATAATTTTCTACAACTAATTAAGTTGAGAAGTAATTACAATCAGCTTTGTTTTGGGAGTGTCTAGTCTAAATGGTATGAAATGAAATGTGCAAAATCAAAGTACTCGTATAGCTACAAAGAAATGGTCATTTGTACAATACTATTTGTACTGAAACATTGCATCATTTCTAAAGGACAGTTCAACATGAAGGAAAGTTGTTTGAGACTTGGGATGATGAGGCAGCTCTGAAATAAAGTCCTTCCCATAAGAATTTTTCCGATATTTAGCAAAGACAAACAGATTAAAATGATGATTAGCTAATGACCAATACAAATATTTTCCAAAAAAATTCATCAATAATGTGAATTCTGGAGTTTAAAACAACTATGAATCAGGAAACTGAAATATCCATTTGATGTTGATCATCTTCATCTCCTTTTAAAAATCCACTGAGCTACCTTTTCTCTGAATTCATTTTATTGTTGTTTCCAAAGTAGTAATTTATTATCATTCCTATCCCCATAGACACATCACTAGAAACACAAGTGGATCTCTAGGAAGTTAGGTGGTACAGTGGACAGAGTGCTGGGCCAGGAGTCAGAAATACAACCTCAGACACTTACTAGTTGTGTAATCCTGGGCAAATCACTTAATCCCCGCAGTTTCCTCAAATGGAAAATAGGGATGATGATAGCACTTGTTCCCAGTATTGTAGTGTGGATCAAATAAGAGAATATGTGCTTGGCACATAGTAGGTGCTTAATAAATGTTTCCTCCTACGCTTTTTTTCCTATGGGCAAAGCTAGGGTATCAAAAGAATGCTGGGCAAAAGGTCAATTGATACTGATTTTTCTGTGGGGTGCCCAAATTTTGATGATATGCCTTACACAAGGCCATATTTTCTCCTCCAGCTTTCTACACAGTCATCTATAGTTTGTAGTAATAAAGGTGGAGAATAAGTAGGCCAATCTTCATGAACCCTATAGATAAAACAAAATGTGGAGCACAAAAATAATTCTCTCTGAGAAGCTGGTACAAAATTTGGCCCACTTGATCCAACTTCCAAAGAAAACTGATCTATATTGACAATATTTTTAAACATAATGCTTTAGAATATGAGAAATCATACCTGTTTTTTTCTTTTTCATCCCTAACATAATCATGTATAGAGTCTCTTTTATCACTTCCAAGAAAAGTGTCATGGCCCCTTTTGTCTACAGTGTGATATATTCTAGAAGCAAGACGTAAATCAGTAGGCAGCACAAATGTTGGAGCGGCGGTACATAGCTTATGAAGCGTGTGAGTAGACTGCCGACACACAATCCTAAAAAAGAAAAAGAAAATGTGTCAGTCTATTTTGGCATTTTATGATATACAATAAAATAAAATAAAATACAAATTCATGTTAATAAATAGTTTGGAGTGAGAAGGGATTCAGAAATGTAGAAGAGCAGATTTTAAATGTTAGTAAAGATACTTAATATACATAATATCACAGCCAGGAGGTTTACCCCACCAGAGCAAAGTTAAGGGCTATGTGAAAGTTAATTCAAGGCAACCCAGAAAGTAAAACTGCCTTTGGGTAAAATACCCTGATTATTTTTTTTAGATTGTTCGCAAGTGATCAGAAAGTTACATGACTTTCTTTTTCAATGATTTTATAGACGTCATCTAAGAGGCTGTTTTTTGTTGTTGTTTCAAGAAATGAAAATTCACACAAAATTGTTGAGTTTGAATTACAGTTTTAAACAGGGTTATATATTTTATATATGCAAATAAGATCATCATAACCAATTATTTTTGCTATGTAAAACAAAGATAATTTTCAGCTAAGCATATTTCCATTTATATTGTAATTGACTGTTTTTTAAAGTGCTAAAAGATGGGTTAATGACATCATTTTATAGTTATGTAATATGGAAGCAGCATGGTGTAGTGGCAACTCCTGTGACATAGAGTCAAGGAGACCTGGATTGGAAACCTATCTATACTAACTAGCTGTACAACCTGCAGATAACTAACTTTGACTCTCTAGGCCTCCCTTTCCCAATCTTTAAAAATGGGAACGATAGCACTTGAAGTACCAGCTTCACAAGGTTGTTGTAAGAAGAGAAAGAGATAACGTATTTAAAGCAATTTGAAAACTATTTAAAAAAAAGTATAATTAGCAGCTATGATTATATGCATATGTTGCTCAACCGAATGAAATACTTTTAAAAAAATAACCAACAAACAATGAGTACAATGAGATCTTTCATTCACTACAACTTTTAGTCAAATGTGTGATTATAAAAATGTACCGTGGAATCTGTGGAATATTGCTTGCCAACCCTGCCTGCTCCCTACAAATGTTCTCATCAAGATGTTCTCTATGTGTAAATTAATCTCATATAATTTTCCTACAGAATGGAAAGAAAGCCTATAGTTCAATAGTTTCTGATGCCCTCCCAGTCACCTTTTTTCAGTCCTGGCCCATAAGGTCCAAGACTTTTGTATTTCCTCCTACTTTCAATATTTCATAAATTAATCCCTTATGACTCTCACAAAATTGTGTCACTTCCAACTGGGAGCTCTTCTATGTATACTTAGCATAAAGCAAATACCTTTCCCATCCTGATTCTCTTGAATACCACTTCTACTATTTGAAAACAGAGGCAGAATTATGATGTTAGTTTCCAAGTATGGTGGCTCAACTGTTGTTGATGATGTTCTATTTTCTTCTGTTTGTTTGCCCTATTTTCATCCTTAGATGTCCTTTTAGTTGTATCTTTCACTAAAATTTCTTTAAACTTATTTTTCTCTTTTATTGCTCCTCTGTTTTATGAGGCAATACTGCTCAGTCTTCGATCATTTATATAATATTTTACAATTTGGTTTATATTCTAAATCAATGTTGCCCTGGCTAACTGTATCTTTCCATTTAAACAGGTAAATCAGTGTTTGCTAACTAAGAAATTTTACATTTCTTTAATCTTCTTGTTATGGTCATTTATTTTCATCTGTTAAATTCCTGTGCATCATTATAGTCTGTGTCCATGTCCTTTTTTCTGTGCATATCAAATTTTTCATCATCAATAACAACAAAATAAGTGAGGATGAGATTATTTCAAAGGTAAGCATGTCTTTTTCTCACTTCCAACTTTACATAAATTTTTATTTTTGTTCTTATGAGTTAGTGATTTGCCTACACAAAGATAGTTGATTCAGGAATGATTCCCATACCACTAACGAGGCATTTTTAGGCATTTAGGTGGATCAAGTATTGGAACTTGGATGAGGAAAACAAAGTTGAATCTTGAGTACTATAAAGCTCTTTGTAAACCTTAAAGCCATAACTTCATAAGAGTTATTATTATAATCTCCTTTCTATCAAAATATAATCAAATTCATTTTTGTTACATTATTCAGTTGTAGATCTCCCAGTTCTTTTCTCAGAGAAAGTATGAATGAATCTTCTGTTTAATTACATCTTTGTTTATATACTTATTTATTTTGCCTAGTGAAATTCTAAGAGGAAAAAAAATTACAAGAAAAAACTCATGAAACTTGTTCTTACTGTTAGATAAACCAGCAGGAGAGAAAGAATTCTTTAGTTTCCCATTGTGTTAAACAAGGACAGAATTTGTTAAGGGACAGAAAAGAGGTTACACATGTAGTGTTAGTATCTGTATACTATGTATATATTTATATAATATGTATATATTTATATACATATAAATTCTTCAGGGTTTTTTTGGCCATTGTTTCATTCACATAAAACAGAAAAACATAAAATATGTTCCTAGTATGTAGTTAGAATTTCCTTCCATTTCATTAGAATTTTACTTTGACAAGTCATTACTCAATTGATAAATGGTCAAAAGATGTGAACAGGCAGTTTCCAGATGAAGAAATTAAAGTTATCTACAGTCATATGAAAAAATTCTCTAAATCACCATTGATTAGAGAAATGCAAATCAAAATGACTCTGAGGTACCACATCACACCTATCAGATTAGCTAACATGACAAAACAGGAAAATAATAAATGTTGGAGAAGATGTGGGAAAATTGGAACACTGATACATTGTTGCTGGAGTTGTGAACTGATCCAACCACTTGAGAACAGTTTGGAATTATGCCCAAAGGGCTATAAAAATGTGCGTACCCTTTGACCCAGCAATACCACTTCTAGGGCTGTATCCCAAAGAGATCATAAAAATGGGAAAAGAACCCACATGTACAAAAGTATTTATAGCAGCTCTTTCTGTGGAGGCAAAGAATTGGAAATTGAGGGGATGCCCATCAGCTGGGGAATGGCTGAACATGTTGTGGTATAGGAATGTAATGAAATACTATTGTGCTATAAGAACTAACGAGCAGATGGTTTTCAGAAAAACCTGGAAAGACTTACATGAACTGATGCTGAGTGAAGTGAGCAAAACCAGGAGAACATTGTACACAGAAATAGCAATGCTGTGCAATAGTTAACTATGGTAGACTTAGCTCTTCTCAACAACACAATGATTGAAGACAATTCCAAAAGACTTGTGATAAAAAATGCTATCTACATCCAGAGAAAGAACTACAGAGTTGGAATGCAGATTGAAGTATACAATCTGCTCTTTTTTTCCCCCTTCTATTTTGTTTTGTTTCTTCTTTCTTGTGGTTCCTCCTATTGATTCTAATTCTTCTTGACAATATGACTAATGTAAAAATATGTTTAATAGGAATGTATATGTAGAGCCTATATCAGATTGCACGCCATCTTGGAGAGAGAGATGAAGAGAAAGTTCAAAAGCTTATGGAAGTGAATGCTGAAAACTAAAAATTAATTAATTAATTTTTTAAAAATAAAATAAAATAATAAAAAGAATTTTACTTTGTTTTCACCTATAGTTAACTCTGTTGTGGTGAAATATAATAATAGCTAAGATTTATATAACACTTTAAGGCATGAAAAGCACTTTACATATATGATCTCATTTGATCTTAACAACAACCGTATAAGGTTGATGCTGTTACAATCCTCATTTTACAGATGAGGTAACTAAAGCCAAGAGAAGTTAAGTGACTTACCCCAAGTCATATAAATGTTTGAGGTAGGATTTATACTTGGGTCTTCCTTATTCCACGCCTGGCACTTTACCCTGATGCATTACCTAGCTGCCTCAAGTTAGGTGTAGATCTCTGGCAATTACTGGATAATAATAGAACAAAATAGGGGCAGCTAGGTGGCGCAGTGGATAGAGCACCAGCCCTGAATTCAGGAGGACCTGAGTTCAAATCTGGCCTCAGACACATAACACTTAACTATCTGTGTGACCCTGGGCAAGTCACTTAACCCCATTGCCTAGCCAAAAAAAAAAAAAGAATAGAACAAAATATTCCTATTTCTCAGCTGTGCAAGGTACTTTACAAAAACGGCCAATGATCAAGGCATACAAACTATGTGCAGAAAAATAGAGATAGTAAACATATGCTTTGCTGACCACAACTCAATAAAAAAAAAGTTATAATCAACACAAAGCCTTTGAACAAAGGATTCAAATTTAAATGGAGACTAATTTTATCCTTAAAAATTGTTGCATCAAAGAACAAATCATAAAAATAATAAATACTTTTATAAGAAAATTATAAGACCAAATACCACACCCTCTAGGATATAGCCAAAGGAATTCTTGAGGGAAAATTTATATCACCAAACACTTTCATCAATAAAAGTGAGAAAGAACAGATCAATGAACTGGACATGCAATCAAAAAAAAGTTAGAAAGCAACAATTCAAAAAACACAAAAACCGAAATTCTGAAAATCAAAGAAGAGATAAAATAAAAAACAAAAAAAATTTCATTGATAAATAAAACTAGGAGCTATTTTTTAAAATGCAAACAACTAATAAAATAGGAAAACCACTAGCTAACCTGAGTGTTTAAAAGAAGAATATCAAATTGCCAATATTAAAAAGGAAAAAAGGAAAATTCAGATAAGATATGGATTCTGGAACCTAGATTTATCATGTAAATGTCACCATCATCACCACTTTTGTCTGAGTACAGATGGTAGTGTTTTTTGTGCCTGGCACAGCAACCAATGTGGGCATAGTGGTATATGCAGAATTGCTGTTGGGTGAATGGAGGTGTTCTGCACTTACTGGTTAACCGGAGGTAAAAGCTCACATTGTTGTCTTGTAGGCTCTGTTTTCTGGTGTAATGGTACAGCTGGTCACTCACTGTGAAATAAAGCGGCAGTAAGCAAGAGTCACATTCTTCATGAATGAGTTCCAAGTCCACACTCTTTTCATCATTAAAGGAGGTTGCTTCATTATTTCATTAAGAACAATGGC